ATTCCTAGACTTCAGCACATTGCTAAATCCTTCCGTCACAGCCCAGATACTGCATGTCATGGATGGCACAAATGCAATAAACATCTGGATGAAAGGCAGCTTCACCAAGCCAAGGTCACAATCGTCCGTACTGTTCAGAGAGAGCTCTACTCAGAGGACATAGAGCGCATCATACGTGGTGAGTCTATCAAACAGTCTAGTCCACTCAGTAAACTAAGCCCATTTATTGACACAGATGGGGTCCTTAGAGTGGGTGGTAGGCTAAAAAGAGCACAGTTAACGTCGGATGAAACACACCCCATGCTCATTCCTGCTAAACACCACCTTGCTCAGCTCATAATCAGACATTGTCATGAGACTGTAAGCCACCAGGGCAGACATTTTACTGAAGGAGCAGTCAGAGCTGCAGGCTTTTGGGTTGTAGGGGGAAAAAGGGCAGTTAGCAGTTTAATATTTAACTGTGTCACATGCCGTAAATTGAGAGGAAAACAGCAAGAACAAATCATGGCTGAGCTTCCCCAGGATAGACTATCCACTGACCCTCCCTTCACGCACGTAGGCCTTGATATATTTGGTCCTTGGCCTGTTACAGTCAGGTAAACACGTGGAGGTCAGGCAGATGCAAAAAGATGGGCAGTCATCTTTACATGTATGAGTACTCGTGCCATACATATCGAAGTAATTGAATCAATGGACACTTCATCATTCATCAATGCTTTGCGTCGCTTCTTCGCAATAAGAGGTGCTGCCAAACAGCTCAGGTCTGATTGTGGCACCAACTTTGTAAGTGCGTGCAAAGAGCTACAAATAGACAAGAGTGGATGTCGCAACCCCAAAATTGACTGCTTCTTAAAAGACAATCTCTGTCACTGGCTGTTTAACCCCCCACATGCATCCCATATGGCAGGCTCCTGGGAGAGAATGATAGGAGTCACACGCCGTATTCTTGATGCAATGCTTCTGGAACACAAAAATGCTAAACTTACACATGAGGTGTTAGTGACATTCATGGCTGAAGTGACTGCAATAGTAAATGCACGGCCACTAACAACAGTTTCTACAGATCCGGAAAACCCAGTCATCCTTACACCTGCCATGTTGCTCACCCAAAAGGTTGGCACTCCTCCAATACCACCTGGTAGGTTTGAAAGCCATGACCTATTCAGAGCACAATGGAGACGTGTGCAGCACTTGGCCAATGTCTTCTGGAGCCGATGGCGAAAAGAGTACATTACTGGACTCCAACATCGCCGCAAGTGGAAAGTAGTGAAGCCGAATCTACAACCAGGAGATGTAGTCCTGCTCAAAGAGGGATCAGAGCACAGAAACAACTGGCCTCTTGGACTAATCACAAAGACTTTCCCCAGCGAGGATGGGCGGGTCAGAAAGCTAGAGGTGAAAATATGCCGTAAGGGAGAACACAAACATTTCTTGCGGCCCATAAGTGAAGTTGTGTTATTGGTGCGTAATGACAATGCTTAGAGATGTTCACGCTATTTGTTCTAAGATTTATTTGCTGTTATTTAGAAATCTTGAGTTATGACATCGTGAGGATGCCAGACGGGGAGTATTCTGTCCCTCATTTTAAGTGAAATAAAATTCTTGCTTAAAGTCAATTTTTGGTAAAAACATGTTCTATTATTCTTCCCCAGAGGTCATTTTTGTCATTTGTATGATGTTTTTCTTGTGTGTGAAGTTTGTGTAAAACGCTGCCCTCTGGTGGCCAACGGTAGTAATCAGAAACTAAACGACCTGCAGTATTTTCTATGATCCAGCTCTGGAGGTGTAACGTGTACATCCACCTCTCTACTCATTTCTTCGTTTGGACTCTTGGCAGATCATAATCTTTTCACAAATTAACATGGTCTTCAGTAAAGACAGAGAAAAGGAATCGTGTCTCTTCATTGCTGGAACCATATGTGTTTAGCTCGCTGTCTAAGTTACGTTAGATACACTAACTGAGGGCAGAAGAACATGTATAAATAGCTCAAAAGAAATCTGTATACATTTACAAACACAAATGAAATATACATCTTATGTATAGTAAAGATTTATTTACACTGGTCTTGAATATAGTAATCAACCGCTTATATAGATCAAAAGAATTGGGACAGAATCCTTTCTATACAAATGCTGTTTGCATTTTAAAGACTGGTCTCCTGCATGTTGGTTTCAAAAACTTTGAGCTTTTACATCGTTTTGAAAAAGAATTGAACTCGGTCTTGGACAGCACTCTGAGCCAGGGAACCATGGGTAAATATGTTAAGTGATTTCTTAATGCGCCCCAGCCTATCAGTAACACAAAACAGAGGTAGGCTAGCTTTATTTTTCTGTAGCCTATGCAGTTATCTTCCATGTTGTTGTTCTATGAAACCGTTTGTTTCAAATTTTATTTTCAGACATGTTGAAAAAATGCACCAGTGGCACAGCCAACGCACAGCACATAATAAGTTACGTGGGCTACCAGAGTTATGTCTGCGTACAGCGCAGTGTACTGTAATTAAACTTGCACGGTACTGTAATAAAATTCATTAAATGCAGAAACTATCCGATTCATTTCATTTTTCTCATTGAAAAACCATACAAATGGCATTTAGATGATATCCTGCATAAAAAATAAGTGAAATAACGGTAAATTCGGTTTTAGTAATCAACCATCTATAGTGTTCAAATTATCTCTGGACCAACGTGATCACTATAAGCGGATTCCACTGTATTACAATTAGTGCTACTATGTCAAATACCAGTATTTGATGGTACATTGTTTTGTTAAAAGGTTGGGACACTGGATGGAGCCAACTTTAAATTTAATAAACATATGTTTATTTAAGTACATTAGTCAGCTCAACAGGAGCTTTGCTCATACATGTTTTGTACAAGTCTGTTTGGCTTCAATTTAACCATAAACTGCAAAAGTAACAGAATAGTGTCATCTATTATAAAACATTTAAACATAAAGGGTGAAATTCTTTTCACTGACAGTAACATCAATACAATAATGCAAACCAATATGGATGAAATAAAAACTTGAATGTTCAACTTGCTGAAAGAAGTTTAAACTGCAGTTGGAACATTTCTCTGAATGAGAAAGCAACTGTATTATAAGCAGATGGGCGAAGGACTAAGGCTTGACCCTGGACTCTCTCAGACGATGCATTGTAGTCCTTTAGAGTCCCTGAGGACCATATGGAGGATGTTGCTAGCAATGTTCAGGCTGAGACCTCTGCTCTTCTGTTGCCATGGTTTTGAGAATCAGTGGGTGAATGGGAATCAGTGTTTAGACATATATATATATATATATATATGTATGTATATACATATATATATATGTATGTATATATATATATATATATATATATATATATATATATATATATATATATATATATATATATATATATATATATATATATATATATATATATATATATAAATCATGTATGTATGTAGCCTTAACATGTATCTAAAGAAGCTTCTTTTTTTAAGATGTTATTACTCTGGTGATATTAATTGTTAATGAGGTGACATTTATTAATCATTTAAACATTCATTTGATGTGTGGGTCGTAATTAATACTCCTGTTATTGCTTATAGGCTATCATATCTTAGCTACACTTAGAAGCTATGTTTATGCAAAATATTCCTTGTCAGGGTGAAATGTGTTTGGATATTTGGAAGACAAATAATAATAATAATCCTCAAACTTAGTAAGTTTTCCCTTCACAGAGTTATCGTATTTCCCTAAAACAATCCCATAAGAAGGGCTGTACTTCAGCCTATGCAAACAACAACATAAAAAATAAATCATTTGGTTTAAGTTCAGTCTCCTTCTGCATTATGACGGGATACATTTCATATATTAATCATATCTATTTATCTTTCCATTATAATGGCACAACTGACAATCTGGGGATAAGATATCAATGCTCTATAAACTGCTGTCAGATGGCCAGTTTTACTGAATATATGTTATGTATGTGTTTAACCAGTATGTGATAGCTTTTAGGTTTGACTTTCAGCATCTTCCATCCTCATCAGATTAGGACATGTCATTGGGTCATTGCTTAGGCATCTGAGTCAAACTTGTTGTATTATTTCAATACGTCAAGGTGGTAATGAAGAGTCTTCAATGGGGATGCTGTTACTGACTGAAGAAGACTAAAAGTATATATGTATACTTTTGTAACACTTTATTTTCACAATAAGGTTACATATGTTTTGCACTTTTAGGAAATGAGAGGGGGTAAGACTTCCAGTAGAACATAAGGAGGCGGGATGCAGTACAACAAGGTCTCTCCTTTACATCCTTATGAACTACAGACCCTCTGTCTGTGTGGAACACACTAGATTTGGGTAGCCATTGAAAAATAGACAAGACTGCCTTAGTTTTGCCATAGTCTTCTAAAGGTACTATCTGTGCTATTTCTGCTGTGTCACTTGCAACTAAAAGATGCTAAAGTACCGGTAATGGTAAGTTGTCTTACAGCAGAAGCTTTCACTCAAGCCATATTCCCATTCCTTTAATAAATCCACCATGGGAAAACATACTGTGTGGCAACATGTGGTCAGAACAGAATGGATCAGGTTGGTTGATAATGGAATTTGTAGCTCTTGTAAACGGATTTAATCAGATTTGGATGAATGATTTGAAAACTGATTTAGTTATACGTTGTGGAAATTAGTTTTTTTTCCCACTGAACATAGAATGGGTAATATGCTCATTTTTTTCCACCAGCACAGAACTGCAAAAATAGATGTTAAAAATCACTGCAAGCCTGATAATGTGTCCAACAAGGTCTTTGTTTTAAAAAGCTTAGATGTAAGAGTTATTTTATTCTAACCCCTGATATGAAAATGTGACTGTGACAACACACCCTATTCACTATTAGCAGAAAATACTGTTTAAAACTTTTAAAATAATGTTGCATCATCTTTTGAATTATCAGCCAAATGCACCAGACATTAGACCAAACAAAAAAAGGCAGTATAAAATGTCTTACACTGAACTGCATCGTCCTCCAAACCATCCTCTGGTTTGCAGCAAAAAGGCAGGAAAACAGAAAATACTTATTAGTTTAATTATGTGTAAGTGAAAGACTTGATTGACATAAACAGCTTTATAAAAAGGCTTCTGCTGCAAAGCAAGATCAAAAGAGCCTTAGGAAGGAATCTTTTTTTTTTTTTTTTTTACAAAGAATCAAGCAAAGTGTTACATTTCTTTCTGCACTACCAAGAAATCCAGAATTGTTTCTGAACACGCAGCTAGTTTCAGAGTCATACAGCCAATAAATATGTTATTATAAAGAACATAATGCACTAGTTTGTCTTGAGGATACAATAAAAAAAATAATAAAAAATATTATACTGGTGTGCTAAAATAATCAACAGCTGATATGGTAATTATTTCTCGTATACAGTGCCATCTAAAGGTATTCATATAAAAATAACTTCCCATATTTTGTCTCATTACAACCACAAAAGTCAATATACTATATTGGGATTTTTTAATGATAAACCAAAGGATAAATGCAAAGTGGAAGGTAAGTGCTACCTGGAGTTTGAGTGCTTATGACCTTATCTCTGTATAAGTTGTCTATAATGTTAAAGAATAATTTAAAAATAGCATCATGAAGACCAAGGAACGCTGCAGGAAAGTCAGGGGCCAAGTTGGGTTAAGTTATAAAACAGAATTCAAAGCATCTCGTGGCACATTGTTCAATCTATATTTTAAGTATGGAAAGACTATGGCTCAAGTACAAATTCCATCCAAGTAATTCACAGGCCAGGAAAATCTATCATTTTACAGAGAGCCAACCAAGACTCTATTGGTAAATCTGGAGGAGTCGCAAAGATTCACAGCTTAAAGCACAAGAAGTAAACCATAGATGAAAGAAAACGATATTAACTTCCATTAGTAGGTTGCCAAAGTCCATTTTGTCTGATGAAACCGAAATTAAACCTCATAACCTAGTTATAAAAATCTATGTTTTGAGAAAAATATTACCAGATATATAGCCCTGAGCACATTCTCTTTACTTTTACATGCTTCACCAGAAACAGGAATTTTGGTGTTGAGAGCAAGAAAAGGAAGGTTTATTTCAGGTCTGTCTATTGTTACACCTGAAAATTAGATTAACAGGGAGAAAGCCAATCACAAAACAGGCAGAGCAATGAAAGTAGACAGACAGAAACAGACAGACAAAAATAGTTCAGGGTGTGCTCTTGCCCTCTTAGGAAAGACTGTGCCAGGGGAGTGAGGTGCTATGAGGGTGGGACTGCCCCCCCTCATTTATAGAGGAAATCTTGCAGGTGAGCAAAAGCGACCACTTCTTTGACTGCCTAAATCAGCAGGCTTGAACTGTGTGACTACAATGTTAAGTTTGAAGGATGCTTGAGGTATCCCCACTTTTACAAACTAAACATGGTCATCTAACTCCAGTTCAATTACAGAACAGCGGTGGAACACCCCACCAGAAAAAAAACAGTTCTGCTTAGATGTTGTGGCAAGAACAAGCAACCAGACAGTGTTAGGAGAACAACATTACATTATTGGCTGGATTTACTGCTTTTTGTTGTCTTTCATGAAATCCCCATAAAAGATGTTAAGATTTGTGGTTGTAATATGACAAAAAAACATTTTTCTATATTGATAAGTATATAGGGTCTAACTCTTTAAGATAACTTTAAGGTTACGTGTGAGGGATATCCATGTAACATCAGGTTGAACAAACATGGGGATAATCTGACTAAATATAGAAGTATAGTCTGAAGCAACAATTGTTTCACAAAATCTATCCATCTTTGTTGATCCTTTTCTCCTCTGTTTGCAAAGCACAACAAACACAGAAGAGCACTGATCGGCCCGCATCCCACACCTCGCTGCCCTCTCGGGGTAGAGCTGTTGGTTCGTTAACAAACAAAAATCGATAGATGGGCCTGAACAGAGGACAAGTAAAGGAATTAATTTCCAGCTTCCATGGGCTTAAGCTGGCAAGTCACCCACTTTAATCAACAGTGTTGAGACATAAAGACAAACGATGTTTATGCTGTCCCGTCTGAAAACAGCAGCATTTAACCTTGTGTCCTTACCAGCCTTTCCAAGCTTGTGCCAGCAGCCGTGGTGGGCGGTTCCTCTGGGTTGTAGGGTCTAAAGCGGGCGTTGAGCACATCCGAAGCACCACGGGCAGACCTCTGGATTTCTGCAAGTTTTGGCTGGCCACAGCCTTGGAAAACCTGCAATTACAAAGACATGGGCACACAGCTGGCAGCAGTCTCAATGGTTATGGATGCAGGAAAATAAGGGAAAACATGCTGTTTTATTTTAAAGGTTTCCTGACTCATTCACCCCACACCACCGGTGTGACGGTGCTATGTGACAAAGCTGAGGTAACCACACTGATAAGTCAGAGAGTTAAGAGCTGTGGTCGAAGCTATTTAGGCTGGAAGGGTTTAGTTTTTACAGGCTTTGGGGGAAACTCCGCACATATAGTTAAACCGTCAACAAAGCTTCATCTGTTGAATGAGAGAGCCAACAGACCATTGAGCTCTGAATGGGAACTGGCATCTAAATCGGTGTAGGCAGAAAAAGTATTCCTTACAACCACCTACATTTTTTCCCTTCCTAACTGCAGTTTTGTGGGCAAGGAGAAATGTAGTAAAACACAGGAAAGCCATTAAATACTGTTAGCTAAACTGTGATTATCTGACCAATGTGAAACGTATAATTCAGAACCTAAGCTAAAATAATAAGAATGTGCTGTATACACCTTAGTCACAGTCTAGAATGACAAGCAAACGTCCTAATGATAAAAAAATTCTGTGGACTTCATCAACCTGTCTACAATGTGGTTTCTCCTCTTCAATGGAGCATTACTGACTTACCCTGAAAGAAACCTGGGCACTGTTATCTTGCATATTCATGATGGCCTCTGAAATCTTGACATCAATAGGTTCCATGACGGATTCAATGTTGAAAGGCCCTTCGAGCCTCTGTGCCACCAGCAGCATGGCATCTGTCAGAGTGGGAAAGGAAACAGGTTAGAGGGCGAGAAAAGCGTGTAGACTGACATGCATACAGCGAATAGTAGATGAGATGAAAGGACAGGCATGACAAAAACAGAGACAGTGTCTTGCGAAGTAATCAAACTCTTTAACCTCCTTGAGTGATGTTGCAACTGGAAATTTAGAGGTATTTTGGGGGGCAGGGGGTTATGTGATAGATCCAGAAAAAGTAGAGGATAGTTGTAAGGTGGAGATAAATGATAGAGGTTTATTAAATTATTAGGGGGTAAAAAATCATGAGAAAAGAAAGTTATAGTCCATTCATCCAGGCCAGATTGAATTGAGTGATCAGATTTTATAGGCTGCTGGACTGTCATGTTACAGGGGGGGCTCCATGAAATGTCCCAAGCTTGGAAAATAGTTTTTTACAACCAAATCTTTCTTTAAACCTTTACGTTTCTCGGTCTTCATGATGCTGCTTCTTCTTAGTTTGGAGAAGACGCACTGTCGTTTGCCACATCATGTGACCTGGAAGAATGCATCACTTTATGGCTGCAGGCTCTCCTATTGTCAGAGCTAAGCCTTTTGCTCTATTGTTTTTCCGCCTGCTCTACCACTGGTCATGGCTGAGGCAAGGAAATAGTTTAAACCTTCAGAGGGGGCTAAAAGAGAAAACATGACAGGTATCGTACGAGGAAAAACAAGAGTCGATCTTGGAAAAGAGTTTGTATGTTGGAGAATGCTGAAAGAAGGTGGCGAATGTAAAACTGGTTCTCTTTTCTTTATTATTCGACTGGTAGGTAGTGTTGCAGCAATGCCATTTTTTGGCTATATAGCAATACCTGATACATGGCTGTGCAGTATTGGCCGATACTGATACCATACCGATACCATCTGTTTGAAATGTATGTGTTTGTGTATATATGAAGAACTCAATACTACTTGGATGTAAAATAATTGCCATCAGGGCTTTGTCAAGCTGCTGCCTACCTTTAAAAAGCAGGAAAAAGACAAACACAAAGTGAATCCAGTAGAACTTTTTATTGCCTACCTGGAATGGGTGACAATATTTGAATAAACTTTTGGCTCTCAAATTCGTATCGGTGCCCTATTTGTCGGTACTCTCTGATACCACAATTTTAGAGCAATATCGGTACTGGTACTGGTATCGGTGCAACACTACTGGTAAGTTAACACTTTGCTCTTAGTATAGAGTCATATATCTTTGTTATTATTTTCGATGTTTAGTAAAAGCAAAATACGGGCAGAGAAAGCTAGCAGGCTATAAACAAAAGCTACTAGGGATGCTGGACATGAAAGTTACAGGTCTAGCAACCCATAGTGACCAAAGGTCACACAGTGTGCCTTAAGAAGATTCAAAAGATGCATTAATTGTTTTTTAGGAGTCTTTGTGCTAAGAAAAAAATTCTCATGGTGGATAATAGATGGATAATTTCTTATTTAGTATTAGATGACTACTGGGCAAATGGTTGCACTAGATATGGTATCGGTGTAAAGGTGCTGAGTAAATGCACACAACACTTTATGTTTTACTTACTCTATTTACTCATTTATTTTTACTCTATTCCATGCCACAATAGAGTGCTTATTTGAATATAACAATCCCATACCGTAATATTTGGTAAATAGGGGGTTTTATCCTGCAAATATGGAAAATGTTAGCCAGGCAAAAATAGCATCTCTAAGACTCTATTGCCTGTATTGAACTATTCAAGTGGCACAGGCCTCTATCACTACTATAAAAAAATGCTTTGAAAAAGAGGAACATGGTTTTACATGGATCCCCAAAGACAATGCCACATTATATTGCCTCATTTCATCCCACTTACATAAATATCCTTTCTCTTTATATCTGCATCCCTTACATAATTAGCCACAATAAGTTTATGAGAATTTGCTCTGTCTGATGTAAAACTGCTTTTCAAGCAGTGCAAAGGTTATGAAACAGTTTAATGTGCCTTTCTTTTTATTGCTTCTGTCTTCCCAAGCCTCTGGTGGGTTCTTAAGCTGCAGGCTTTACTAGCTTACCCTGTAAACAAAAACAACTCAAATGTAAAGACTTCTTCCACAGAGAAGAATGCATGCCTTTTTGAATTAGTTAAATACTACCACACTGCTCCAACCTGATTAACGAACAGCTTAATCATTATAAAAGTTTTAGCTATTGATAAAGCGGGATACCACACATTTGGTCAAAAATATTAAAACATGTGGATTTGTTTTACAAGTTTATATAATTGCCAAACAAGTGGATGTGATATTGATATTGTTCTTAAGATAAAACTACAAATTGTTACATCTCTAAAATGTCTTTATAAAAGGTTTCCTGTCTTTAGCTTTGCATTTTTTTCTCCTCACTAACGCCTTTACCTATACGTGCCTTAATACTGTAACATATTTCTGCATTATGACAGTGCCAGCTCCATGTTTCAGTGGGATGTGGATCCATCCATCCATCCATCCATCCATCCATCCATCCATCCATCCATCCATCCATCCATCCATCCATCCATCCATCCAGCCAGCCAGCCAGCCAGCCAGCCAGCCAGCCAGCCAGCCAGCCAGCCAGCCAGCCAGCCAGCCAGCCAGCCACATGCTTGGCAGGTCACCAGTCTGTCACACATACCCACCCACACAAGCAGTCTATTTTTTTTGTCTTAGTAAATTTAAAGACATCAATTAACCAGTCATGTTTTTCAAATCAGGAGTGTCCACGCATGCAAAAATAGATTGGGTATCAAACCAAAGACCTTCTTGCTGCAAGGCAACAGTGCTGCAAACAGATCTTGTATGCTGTGCTTCTCTCAGAAAAACAGTCATTTGTTTGATCCAATTTAAGGATTTGATTGTTTGAACATGTTTTGGGTTTTTACATGTATACAGCCCCACTATTGTAAATGAAAATAATGTTAGCAAATATTACAAATAGCCAAAATATTACTACATCTGTTTCTCCTTTCATTGACTACTAACTGTCATATGAATCACTAAAGCTTTTGATGCAAATTGAAGTTTGGTATAAATCCACTTAACAAACATCAAGAATTGCTAATGAGATGCTTATTCAATTAAAAACAAAAGCCCAGCACATCTATTGAAGGTTGGCTGTTTATCAAATTGTATGGACATAACAAAAGGGCTTTTTTATGAAAGCTGTATGGCCTGGCCATTGACCACTGCCATGTTCATGGCAGATCAATCTGGAAAGGAGCAGGTTGAACCCCATTTTAAATGACTAGGGATGTGATGCCAAAACATGTTTTTTTTTTTTTTTGAAAAAGCTCCTACAACAGCCAGTTGTTGATATTTTTAACATATGTACAGCTCTTTCAGGACATAACAAACATCAAAACATTAATTAAAATATTGCTCCACTGCAGTTGCCATCTTAATTGTTACTACGGACCCACGCTGCACTTGTTCCGTTCTATTGTGACTAAATGCTAGTAAGTGGATTTCAAATTAGCTGAAACTTGTGCAAATTAACGGAGTGAGACACAACAAAGAATATATATATATATATATATATATATATATATATATATATATATATATATATATATATATATATATATATATATATATATATATATACACACTTATTCACTAATGTGGCAGTCTAATTCTACACAACAGCTGCACCTGAATGCTCAAGGTGTTAATGTAAAACTATCCTTTTAATGGCAGAAATGGCATTTCGGAACAAGACATCAACAAACCACCAACGTACTGAGCAATTTTCAGATATGGTGGCGAGACATGTTCTCTGTCCACAGACCTCCCAGGACTGGACCGCAGGAGCAGGCTGTCATAATGACTAAAAATTACCTTGTATCTAAACAAGGTCATCTACTCATTTGGACACTATGGAAACAATGACTTCATACATGGAGCCTCTGACTTCCTTGGCTGTTTATTTATTCTATACACAGACCAAAAGAGAGGTTACTCCCATTAAAGGTCTGCCGCTTTAATCGCTCCAACCCTATACACAAAGAGATAGGATCTTAATACACCTTAATTAGAAAAAGAAACAAGATAAGGACATAAGAGAGGGGGAAAAAAACAGTACCGGAAAAAACAAGCAAGAGAACAAACAGAAAAAAATAGAAAAAGGTTGTTCAGCCGTATTTTTTTTTAGGAACAGTAATGTCAGATAAAAAGGGCTGAAAAAACACTCAGCTCTGGCTCCATTTCATTTCCAATTATGTTGAATTCTGAGCCTTTGAACAGCTCTTCTGTTTGTTTACTTTACGATTTGCAAACAGCCTGTTATACTTCCATGGATCTTAATATGCCAATTACATCTCTGCAAAACATGTGTCTTTCACGGCTCCTTAATTGGACCAGAGCAACAACAGAATTGGAAGGATAATGAAATAAAATATATTTTAGAACATGCCACTTTACGGTGTTTATGTGTAGCTGTATAAAGATCCATCACAAAAAATATTGTCCCCGAAAAGTAGTAAAAGTAATTTTACATTCTTGATTGTTTAATATAAAAAAATAATCGGTTTATAATGTTTTCTTACACCACGCATGCATTTTGAAAGATAAGATTGTTTTTTAGATATACAATATTGTTACCTATACATGCCAGCTAAATCAGACTTAACAATTTTAGATTTTTAAACTCTACCTTCTCCATTTTGATAAAAAAAAAAGTAAAATAAAATAAATATTGAGGAGCGACTGAAATGTAATAAATTCAAAGTGAAAATGTGCAGAAATTATTTTATCTCTAGAATATATTTTATTAATTTCAGCATTTTTAAAGTTTAGCACTTATTTTAACTATTGATTAACAAACTAAACTTGTGGTTATAATTCTGTAAAAAATTCAAAACAATCCACTGGACTTGGTTATAAGTTCATCCACTTAAAAACATCCACTTCATTTTTTGGAATCCCCTCACAAAGGCTTGACATATGAAATTATTCAGATACCGCATCTTCCAAAACTGCCTCTTAACGCCATAAAATCCAA